CTACTAGATCTAACTTAGTAAGGTTAGAACTACCTAATACTTCTACCTATTATATAAGTTCTTAATAAGTAAGCTTCTTAAGCTCTTTATTATTTAGTATTTTATTATTAAATAAACCTGTGTTCTTATTAGACTCTTCTAAGGCTTTACTAGGCTTATTATCTAAGCTAATCTAAGTAGGTAAATTATTCTTCTCTTATCTAGAGCTATTCTTAGAGTCTAAACTTAGTATAGTCTTACTTAATAGCTTCTTTTTCTTAGCCTTAAATATAGTTAATGTCTTGCTTTTGCGCTTAGTTGCAGTCTTAGAGAACGTTTTCTTAGTTTTACGCCTACGCTTTAGCTACGCTATTCTAGCAACCTAATTAGTATAATAGATATAACTAAGATAAATCTTATACTTACGCTGTCTAACACGCCTTAATAGAAGCGTCTAAGAATAATCTAATTATACAGTAATCTAATACCTCTATAATATCTAGGTAGACTATATAGTTAGCTAAGATTATACTAAGACTAGTTCTAATCTACCTTATTAATTAGGCGTATAAGTCTTACACTTTACTTTAAAGAAGTTACATTAAGCGCAAGTAATTACTACTCTTAGATAACTATTATCTTAAACTATAATATTAAGATCTCTATTATTATTTTTACTCTATAACTAATTAAGTTAATAAGATATAACTAAGTTATATTCTAGATATACTTACCTCTGCCTTATTAATTAGCGCTATACGCATCTTAGTAGTCTTAGTCTACTAGTATAACGTCTAGTAACGTTAGCAGAGCCTTTATAAAGATGTGTCTAAGTCTTTACTTAATTTATTAGGTCTTTCTTATTCTAACTCTACTTTATAGAGTATTAGACTAGTAGTATAGTTATTCTCTAGATACTAGTAGTATAGCGCTTATTTATAAGATAGTAGTATACTAAGCGTATAGTTAGATATAACCTAGATTAAACTACTTATATACTATACCTAAGACCTTATTATAAATAGAGAGTAGTAAAAGCTCTAAACTCTACTTAATCTCTCTAAATCTAGCTCTCTTATACTATGTTATATTAATAGAATATTAAGAGAATACTAAGATAAATCTAAGCTTACGTTTGTACTATAAAACTTTTAGACGTATAATATAGTAACGTCTTTACTACTAAATATAGTCTATTATAATATAAGTATAAAACTAAAGTAAGATATAACTAAGTCTCTACCTTAATAAAGTATATACGTAGCTCTAAATTAGGCTTATTAATATTTATAATAGCTGTGTAGTAGCGTAAGCTATAGATAATATAGAATAAGCTGTTCTTCTTTTAGAGTATTAGCATAGAACTAAACTAAGTAGTATCTCTATAATATACTATTAGTAACACAGGTATTAGATTAGGCTGTAAGAAATACTTTAAGTATATTAAGTAGTGCTGCTACAAACTCTATTAGCTATATAGTTTTAACTAAGTATAAACCTACTTATACTATTAGTAAGAGAAAGTAGTTCTTCTATCTTAGTATCTTCTTCTAATAACTATTTCTTAATCTTCTTATCTTTAATAACTTAACTACTAGCATTCTAGCTCTTTTCTAGACTATTCTTAGTCTTATCTTCTTCTATAGCTACTTAGAGCGCGACTATATTCTACATAGCCTTATTACTAAATATAGTTAGGTTATTCTCTTAAATATACTAGTTAGCTATCTCTATAGTTTATGCTGTAGCTAGTGTAGTCTAAAATAGATCTTAAACTAGCGTAACTAGAGATAATACATTTAGTTCTACCTCTATAGTAACTTAGAATAGAGTTATAAAGCTATATACTATAGTAGATATAATCTTAGATAAATTACTAGTTAGCGTAGCTAGAGATAATATAATTAGTACTACTTCTTTAGTAACTAGAAATATAGCTATAATATTATTCTTAGCACTTAAACTAAGATCTAACTAAGTAGTATCTACTTCTTCTATACTATTTGCGTGTAACGTAGGTTATACAGACTTTAGATTAGTGTACGCTAGCTTATTAAATATAGAGAATAGAGAAAAGAACAACGCTATAATAGTTAATACTTAGTTGCTACTATTAGATAGTAGCTTATAACTATTAGAGGTATAAGTAGTTATAAGAGAAGAAGTAAGAGTTTATAAGACTATATTACAACCTAAAAGCTAGACTAACGCTAGTAATCTTATATAGACTACTAGTGTTATCTAATATTTATATTAGACTATAGAACAAACTTAGATATAACCTATATAGACTTATACACTCTACTATATATACCTTCTCTACTAGTAGCTATAGGTTTACGTACTAGTTATACTATAAGATATAACTTAGTTATTACTTACTACCTAATACACTACTACTATAACTATTATCTTTAGTACTAGTAGATACTACTTAGTCTAGACCTACTAAGTATTATTATCTTCTACCTGTAATCTATAAGCCTAAGCCTTATAATTATACTTAGCTTAGGCCTTTATAGCGCTGTAGATCTATTAGTTAAGATATATCTTAGTTTACTCTTTATTTATACTTATAGTATAGTAGTCTTCTTATAGTAGGTAGTAACTAATACTATAGTGTATTTTAGTAGAATAATACACGCTAGATTATTAGCTATCTTAATATTAGAATATTCTATAGTAGTTAGATAAGTATAAACTAAGAGTAATCTTAACTTACTATAGCCTTTAATATTAGTATAAATAGAACACTAGTAACGTAACTTAGGTAAACTAGCGTCTTTCTAGACTTAGAAACAAATAATCTTCTAATTATTATTAGTAAGAGACCTAACTAGAATTTGTCTAATATATACTTACACTATTACAGAACGTAAGTAGGTCTAGAGTATTATTAGAAATATAAGCTACTATTTCTTTTAGGTAGACAGTCTATATAGAGATTTAGCTAAGTTAAAACTAAGAATTATCTTATATATACTTCTTGTTGTCTAAGACACTTATTTTAGAAATTATTATTAGAGAAAAGTAGTAGTAGATCTTAGTTAAACTCTAGTATTATAAAATAGTAGTACCTAGTAGGTTAAGACTTAGAAGCGTTCTGCTATTTATTTTAAGCTTATAGCGTATTCTTTATAGCCTAGCGCTCTATTATAATATTAGTGCGCTTATTTATAGTTTTGTAAAATTCTGTCTCTATTAGACTAGTTTTGTCTAAGATATATCTATATTATACTTACTCTTTATATATTAAAGCTAGAGTTCTCTAATCTAGCCTATAACCTAGTTAAGGTACTTATAGCTAGTAGTCTTATACTAGTACTACTTAGTATAAATAGACTACACTAAGTTTAAACTAACTTACAGCAGCTCTATAGACCTTCTTAATATATAATATAACTACTTCTAGAGTAATAAAGATAAACTTATATAAGTATTAGCTATAATTAGACTAAGTTTACTCTAGTAGCTTTACCTTTTTATAATATCTTCTTTCTAGGTTTCTACTACTAACGTTAAGATTAGTAGAATAGTAAAGAGTACTCTTAATAATTACGTAGGTATATAACTTCTTATTCTATATAGTATTAACTTAGACTTATCTAGTATTTTTAAGAGATAACTTATAAGAAAGACGTAAAAAAGGCTAATAGAGTAGGTCTTACTTACTACGTAGATTAAGTAGTAATACTACGTTACTATAAGTATAGACTTATCTAAAATTTATTTAAAGTTACTTACTTCTCTAAAATAGCTATACGCCTACTACGCTTAAAGTTAATCTTAACATTATTACTATTACTATTACTACTACTAGCGCTTATATTAGTAATAGATAGTACTAAGTCTTAACTAGTATAGGCTTTATAAGTTCTTACTACTAATATTTACTACGTAAGTATAGTAGTAGTAGTATAGTAGAGTAGAAATAATAGTTATAAGCTAAATATAAAAGTAATAGACTAGCGCTACTAGCGTAGATTAAGTAAAAAACAGCTTATATTGCACCTACTTTTTTTAGAGATAGCTTAGTCAAATCTTAAGAACAGCCGAGCTCTACCGTGCGCGCGTCGTGACGGCTTCCGCGGCTTCTCGCCGCACCCACCATCCCTGTCACTCTTATTGCCGGAAACAGCACGCGACTGGCGCCTTCACCCACGTCTCAGTCATGAACACGGTACTACCACAAACTTCATCATTAATCGTCTTCGAAACATAAACTCCGCTTCGGTGACTACGACTACGACTACGACTACATGAGCCTGACCCCCCGCGCGCCCACTCGCCGTGGATCTACGAGCCCCACCTAATCGATCAACTACGCCGCTCAACACGCCCAGAAGCAGTCTGCTTGACGATTCTATAGCTTAATTAGTACACTTCCAGATTCAACTCATGCACGAGATCTCGTTGATGAACTTACGGGCGCTTTGAGACTAAAAAGACTGCGATCCCACCCTCCAACATTGCAGTGTGGGTACTTCGATGCATCCTGATCTCGGAAAGATACGGTCGCGACATCGCCAAAAGTGATGATAATGTTAAGAGAGTCATACACATCCTCAAACTGTTCCGGGTCGCCCAAGTGGACCTCAATTGGATAGCCTAATATCGTTTTACTGTCTTCGATCACAGCAATATCACCGAAACGCATAGCATCGTGATGACTGGAAGAAAGTGGAGCATGGCCGCTGTTGTCGAACACAGCCAGAGTCAACTCAACAGGCCCGCGCCTTCTAGTCGACTCCTTGATATGCAGCCTGCAAATGCCCTGTTCATAAAGTGGACTGGGCGTTGGAGACGGTGTGGTAAGCGATGCAGACGTAGACTTTGGCGACGCCGTTGGGTCACCTGGACAGCGGTTCCAGCTTGGCTGAGTTGAGTATTCGCAGTTGAGCTCTAGGGTACCGCTTACGGTCATGGTCAACAAGGGTGCCACCGTACCCCCGCAATTGCAATAATTCTCGATACAGCGTTGTCCATTCCCTGCAATCACGTAGGCGCACCCTGGGATCCCACTAATACCGGGTCTCGGTACACTTGAAGCTAGTGGAGTCACGATCGTTGCGAAAGAAGACGCGTCGGTTGTATAAACGTTGCTCGGCGTAGTTGTCGGTGGGCTTGTAGTTGTGATGCTCACGGTCTGTGAGAATGACCATTGAGTAGAGAAAACGGGCTGCGAACTCTGTTCGGCCCATAACTCCAATGCAGCCCTGTCTGGCTCATGCTGTGGATCGAACTGTAGCATGAATTTGCCATCCAGCCACGAATACTTTTCTGGATCGCCTCCTTCATGGGGTGGGTTCGCGTTTGGATCCTCACCCAGTCTGCGGTCGTATGCCACAACTACCACATGGTTGTCATCATATTCACTGACGTCTTTGAAAACGTTGTCTCTCAAGACGCTTCGGATGGCGTTGATATGATTCGGGTACGCTAGCTCAGAACCGTGTAAAGACCTAGGGGTGATAACGATGACTCGTGGCTCTTCGCCTTCCGCGAAGGCCTTGTCGACGTGGCATGCCAGACTCAAAAAGCTCTTGGGCTCCTCATCCATAGAGCAGCTCTTCGTTGACTCCAAAACGTCGAGCACGTAGGTTCGAAAGATACTCGGGTTGCCTTCTTCCTCATCCTCTAATGGTTCATCCCAGGTGTTGTACCATCCATCGCTCGGGGATTCCTCATCGTACAAGGCTAGAAAGCCAGGAAGCTCCCAAAAATGGGACCACCATATTGCAGATTTTGACACGACCAACACAGACGTGCATCCGTACAGATTTACCAAGCCCAGTACCATTTTTGCGTGGTCGTATTTGCGAAATAGCGCAGACGGAACGCCTTTCCCAATCTCCGTGCCCATGTGGCCATGGGGAACGAAGACCCGCTCTTCGTTATTTGTTTCCAACGCGTGCTTTGCATCAGCAAATCTGGAACGCATAAAAGCGTTGATGCCTTCTTCCGTGGTACTCTCCGGACGATCGAGCTGTGCCAAAATCGCTGAGTCGAGGGTATCCGATCTGTTGTATGCGACATCGGCCATACCTCCGCCAGATCCTTCCATACTCTCCACATAGATATCCTGGAGGCATGTCTTACAGGAAATACCGCATGGCTGGAATCGAGGACAGAAGGGCTTCTTAGCATACGATTCCCCTGGAAAAGCGCCGATAACTGAAGTTGGCACAGCACAAGCCATGGAGCTAGAGACACCAGACGATACCGAAGTGCTGGAACGGGAAGTATCAGTCGAGATTTCGGAGTTTGATAGCGGCATTGAGGTGGATGTGTGCGCAGACTCAGTAGCATGTGGCCCGTTGCTTGTAGAAGGAAGCGAAAGTGGTGGGGTGACTGGTGGTGTGTTCAAGGATGGATTCGCCATGAACTTGATCACATCAACAATAGCCGCCATCTGGACAGCTGATGTCGAAATTGCTGTTTGAACGTCCATTGCCCCTTTGATCAACATACCAAACGTATGACTAATGTCTGACGCCAAGCCAACAACGCACGAAATCGTTTTGAAGATATCCCCAATGAACGGAAGCCCACTGCTAGACCGTATGCATGAGCCATCTTTCTTGTCATGATCGTCGTGGTCATCCTCGTCGTGTGGGGATGTTCGACCCATGAGTGAGCCCATATCTTCCATGAACATGCTAACACCCTCTGCAACCACGGTTTACTTTGCTGAATCCATACTACTCTGGCTCCAGTCTTGCACAGCTAGCGCCACACTCATCCACCGCAGTGACGCCATTGTCAATGCAGAAGATATCTCGAAACCAGTGGGGTTCAATGTCGGCATAGTAGGTGCGTTTGAAATGTGTATCGGGATAGGTGTGACTATTGCACCCCCAGAGAGAAACTGAAGAACTGCAGTCTGCCCCAGGGTCACAGTCGTAATCATCACTAGCGTTGGCGCTGCGAATGAAGCTGTGATGATCGTAGAGAAGACCTGACCACTGATATTGTATGAGACGATAGGTGCAATTGGAGTTTGCACCGATGTCATGGTGATTCGTGAAAGATCGGGTGTCGTGGATATCGTGTACTCGCTAGCATGCGACGTCCACAAAGCCGAAGAGGAGTGCTCATCAAGTGTAGTAGAGTTCAAACTTCCGGAGAGCACCACTGATTCCGTAGACGATGAACCTGATGTTTCTTGTTGTGTGGTTCTAGTCGTCGAGAGCGTTTCCAAGCTAGGCGTGTTGGACAGATTGGGTTTCAACGTGCTGGTATCTGTAACAGTCGGTGGCGAAGATACGAGGCTTAGTGTTTCGGTCCTGGAATATACTGAAGACACAGAGCTCCTGCTTGCATATCCAATGATGGTGCTAGTGTTGACATAGCCAGATGCAGTAGCATTTGTCCATTGTGGCGACCCTGATGGAGTAGTCGAGGTGGCCTGTTCCAAGGGGAACGTCTCGGTGATTGTTTTCCGGCTCTTTATTGAAGTCAGGGTTGTGTTAGCGATGGAGGGACTCTCCATCGCGCGTGTAGGGTCCGTGAATGAGCTCACGGTAGAGGCATTTGACCAGGATATAGAGTTAGACACTGTAGTGGTCTCGGAAAGAGTAGACGTGACAGCAATTGGAGATACGAAGACCGAAATGGCGGAGGGCGACATCGTCAAGATCAGCAAACCAGCTATGATCTTAAAAGAAGACATTATCAGTACTGTCGCAAAGTGCCCGAAGATGTGAGAAGCCTGGATAACGAGTCTTTGTCCTATGCAGTCAACGGTTCTTACCGCAATACCAGAAAGCTTTTATAGCTCGAGCAGGTCCCTATTGCTGCTCACCGGAACAGTTGACGAAGACGGTAAACTTGACCAGGCCCGCCACGTAGTCACACTGCTGCTCTCCAGCAAGAGCCGTGCCTGACAATAAAGTGACAGTGATACCTTTTCTTTGCGATCGCAAATCCCATCGTATCGTCGCAAAGAAGACCGAATAGTCAACAAATGAACGCAAATCTGTTGCAGGAAGAAGAGGTCAATGCATGCGTAGTAACATGGCCAGGTTGACAATTATCAGCAATGGGAACATCGCACTCGGGAGTCTTCGGAAATATCTGTGATATCAGCCAAAAAGGTCGCGATGGTATTACAACAACTGTGACCCGATGTAGTCACCCGCACGTGTACTCGGAAATGCCGGTCACTCCATCCCCTTTCGTAAGAGGAAAAGGTGAGCCGAATCGAACGGCCTTGATGAGCCGTTGCGCAAGATATGTGCTAAGTCGGTAAGTTTCCCATTTTGTCGCGAGAATGTGCTGCGGATGATGGTCTCCACTGATTCGAGGACAGCTTCCGTGGCACGACACGTGCGCGCGGGATCGAACGCGTTGGCTCTGGGTAGCCCCTCGCATGGCGCACTCAACTGTTGGAGTGGTCGCGTGGATGTAATAATTATGCATGTTAGATGCAGGCATGCCTCGTAAAGGAAGGAAGTTGACTTGTCGCGACGCGTGCCCACATTGAAGTTGGCGTGTTACTGCCCAGGTGGGGAAGCAGCGCGTTGGCGTCAGCTACCTAACTTGAGCGGCTTTAGCGTGCCAAGAGAGCCTTCCAGAGGTGTCTCCACTGCTACTTCCACATTTTAACTCTTCTTTTTTCTCTGTCTTTCGCGCTTAAGCCTAAGAGGTCTTTTTATAAGAGTACTTTAGTTATATATATTAGAGAAAAGATATTTAGTAATAGTAGTTTACTAAGTTTATCTAAAGTAGTTATTTTTATATATACTTATAGTGCCGAGAACCTAAGCCTCGGCCCGCCCGACGCCTATACCTCTAAATGTAGGATTTTAACTCTTTTTAAAATACGTCTTTTTGTGTACTAGTAACAGACCTTACTCTTTTTAAACTAGCTTGCTATAGAATTATTAGCTTGCTAATAAATATACTTATAGTAGCTAAAAATAACTTTATAATAAATATATAATAAGTTATTATATTAGCTTATAAAATAAAAATAGCTTATACTATAAAACTAAAGTTAAAGCTTAAATAATATATTTATAAAAATATATTTACTACTACTATTTTTATTTTTTTATTATAATTATAAATACTTTACTACTTTAAAATTTTTTTAACTACTATTTTTTTATTCTTACTAATAACTAAGTAGCTTATTTTACTTTTTTAGTTTTTACTTTAAATTTTAAACTTAATATAATTTACTATAAAGCTTTATTTACTAAAAAGCTATTAGTACTAGCTATATATATATAAAAAAGCTAGTAAATACTTTATAAGCTTAAAATAATAGTAGCTATATTTATATTTAAGTAGCTTAATAATAGTATATAATTTACTTAAGTAATAGTATAAAGTTACTAATATTTTAGTTTTTAGCTTTTTTAAATTTTATACTAATAAGCTTATAAAGCTAAAAGTACTACTTTAAAAGCTATTTTTAGTATAACTATAGCTTATACTTATTAAAAAGATATTTTTTAAATAAGTAAAAAAACTTAAGTAGTAAATAGTATTAGTAAATATATTAATTAATTACTATAGTAAGTAATTTTAGTAGAAGTAAAAGTAAAAAAAAAGTATTATAAGTTAATTTTATAACTTTATAATATTTACTATTTATATAAAAAAGTAATATTATAAAAAAAAAATTTACTTTTAAACTAGTACTTTAATAAATAAAACTAGAATTATATTAATATATTAAGGTTTTAACTCTTTTTAGTTATAGTAGTTTTATATTTTATAAGCTTATACTTAAATTTAAAGTCTTATTATAAAAGACTTTAAGTATATATATTAGTAAGTTAGTAAGTTAATAATAGTAGTTTACTAAAGTTTATTAGAATAGTTATTTTTATATTTAACTATAGTAGCTAAAATAACTTTATAATAAATATATAATAAGTTTTATAATAGCTTATACTATAAAACTAAAGTTAAAGCTTAAAGTACTTATAAAAAAGTACTTTTTACTACTATTTTTTTTTTTCTTTATTATAATTATTATAGTAAAGTGTTAATATAAAGTAGAGTAATAAAACGTAGTTAGTAACTCTATATAGTAATCTTAATATAGGTATATTTTCTAAATACCTTATACTTACTATATATAGCTATAATAATTAATAAAACTCTCTCTTTAATATTTACTATAGATATAAATAGTTTTTATTATAATTATAAGTAATTAAAACTTTTAAAACTTTTTTTATAATTAATAATAAATTTAGTATTTTATTATTTTTTTAGTAAAAATAAATATATTTAGCTTTCTAAATTTTAACTAATTACTTTAAAGTAAACTTTTAAGCTATACTAATACTTTAATAAAAGCTATTTTTAATATTAAAGCTATTAGTAAATAAATATATAAGTACTTTAAGCTTATAAGTAAACTAAAAATAAGTATACTACTATTATAAAACTTTAGTAATAGTATATAATTTATTTAAATATATAAGTATATACTAATATTTACTATAGCTCTAAGCTAAACTTATTAAGTAAATAAAATTTATATACTTAAAGCTTTACTTAAAAAGCTAAGCTTAAAGCTATAGCTTATAAATTATAAAAAGTTAATTTTAGAAGACTTATATAAATATAAAAGAGAGATAGTAAATTAGGTAGTTGCTAGCTTTAGCTTGCAGTACGCGTAGAGGTGGAACTAGCGGCCTTGCGTCTGGCCTAGGTGTGCAGCAGGCTTTCAGAAACAGGTCGATCGCGGCGCTTTTACCTATGTCTCACTGCGAGGATGCACTAAATGCGTCTATCTTCCAACGACACTTAGACCACGCTTCCTCGGAAAGGCCCTTCAGCTGCCCAGGTGCATGGCCATACATCTCGCAGGCGCCACCGATGACTAAAAGCTCCCCCCTTGTGCTGGATGTCCTATGAGCGTCGTCTAAAGCTACTCCATACTCGACCGCGGCTGTTCCGGCGGCTTTCTTGTGCACTCAACCAGCAATATTGATGAAGCCGGTAAGACGTCTGCTGCATACTGTGCGTCGGGTCATACTTAAGGCCTACTTTGAGCCTTCTTTAAGTCTACTACCTATCACCCCATCCTCGTCATGACTCGATTGATCAATATCTTGGCGCGCTCTCTGTATTCGTGCGTCACATTGGCAACTGCCGAGGACAAAATTACCCCAAATCATATCGAGCTGATCAGAGATGTTGCAATAATCGGCGGAGGCGCATCGGGGACGTACGCCGCCGTTCGACTTCGCGAAGATCTAAACACGAGCATAGTGCTCATCGAGCCCAGACCAGTTCTGGGTGGTCACACTAGCACCTACCACATTCCCGAAACAAACATTTCGATTGATTACGGAGTCCAAAGCTATATACCTTACGGACCGGCTACCGATTTCTTTACACGCTTTGGGATTGATACGGGGATCCCCACTAATCAGAGGTTGACGGCACTCAATATCGATGTCGAGACGGGTGAGGAACTGGAGGACTACAGCGCCCCGAGTGCAAATGCAACCAACGAAGCATTGCAGCGATGGCTTGCGATCACGTCGAAATACAGAGATATATTGGAGCCAGGCCTCTGGCGATTTCCATCTCCAGCAGATATCCCTGAAGATCTTCTTACGCCATTCGGTGATTTTGCTAAGCTCCATCAGTTGGAAGCCGCCGTTCCACGGATAGTGGTGATATCTGGTGTGGGCTATGGAGGCATTCGAAATCTTTTGACGCTCACCGTCTTACAGGCTTTTGGGGCGTCACTTACGAAAGGTCAGTCGATGTTGCAGGCTTGTTCACAAATTGAGACTGTCTTTCGCTGGGGGTCTTAGCTTACTGTTCTTAGGTCTATTGAGCGGCACACTTTTCAGACCTGTTGGCAATAACGGTGTCCTCTACGAACGCGCGCTCGAGCTCCTTAGGCCGGACGTACTATTATCGAGCAACGTTCAGGATGTGAAGCGAACCAAGAACGGGGTGAGGCTATTAATAAAGCAGGGCGATACCAGCTACATCATCAAGGCACGTCGTATTCTGTATACCGCAGGCCCGAGCCTGGAAAATTTGGCTTCTTTTCATCTCAACAACAAGGAAACGGCTGCCTTCTCAAACTGGATCGAAGAGGCCAACTTCGTAGGGATTCTGAAGGCGCCTTGCTTACCAGAAAACTACTCCATCACGTATTTGCCTTCGGCAGCGGTACCGGCTGACCAGCTTGCGATCAAAGACTGGCCATACAGTCTGCGTCTAGACTCGACAGGGCCTCCAGGCCAAGGTCTCTTCCGAGTCGTCTTCGGCGCCAACTATACGATATCTCCGGACGCCTTCACAAACATAGTCTTGGAAAGCGTCAAAGGAATACAGGATGCTGGAACTGTCCCCGCGGATTGCGAAGCGGAATTTGAAGCGCTTTCGGATCATAGCCGCCCTTGGTGGCCGCGGTCTGCTGAGCGGTTTCGAGCAGGTTTTGTTCAAGACTTATATGCCCTGCAGGGATATAGAAATATGTGGTATACTGGATACGCTTGGGGAGCGCAATACAGCTCAACTGTTTGGGCATTTACCGACACAGTTCTCGAGAGACTCATAAAGGATATGAAGAGCGGGACCTGATCCATTGCTTCGGTGCGTACGCAATTGGATAAAGATCAAAAATCTCTGCTGTGGCTTGTCGTCTCGGTGAAGGTCAAGAAATCTTATGGTCTTGAATGCTGAGCGCGCTAGAAATTTACGAAAGCCTTGTAGATACGACAACACCATTGTTGTCGTAGCATACATGGTCTGCTCTTTATTAGAGCGTTCATCAGAGCTGTGTGGGTATGGGAAAAGGATGATCAATGCCAACGCGCTATCCTAATGCCACTACATATAATGAATGCCCACGATGCGAACATTCATATGTCTAGTGCTAGAGCTCTGCGTGTACCCGCGATCGATGTGGCGTCCCAGCGACGATCGGCGCGTGTAGTCGCGGAAGCAAGCGGACACAGCGCCCTGCCAGCAAAAGAGCCAAACCCCAATTCCTTCCTTCCTTAGACTTCAGCCGTGTCCGCGGTATGTAAAAGAGCGTACGCTATCTAAAGCACGACGAACACATAATGTGTGCTGAACCTTCACGTTGAAGATGGGGACGGAACGCGATTACTGCCGCCGCCAAATCGGCGTCGTCATTATATACCCAACCAAAGTACGCCTCAAAATCATTGCTACCGGATTATTACGAGACGAGTTCGAATCGAACAGCGCTACAACTCAAATGTGCAGACCTTGGAGAAACAGGGAAAGTGATGACGCTGGGGTCGGTCACCACCGGCAAGTCGATGCGTGATTGGATAGACCCGCCGGGTTCCTGCAGCAGTCCCCGCCGGCTTCGGGCTGGCCCACCTTGCTCTTTGTGCTCTCCTGTTTGCATCAACACCAACGTGTTATCACCACTGACCTCGATTCCACTGGAAATACATCGTCCCTATATCGTTTGCACCGAACTCGTGCACATCGTTCATTCAACCCTCCCTGCCTGCCAACGCGAATCACATGCGAGATGGTCAGTCCCCGGAATCGCCGGATTGTTCGTGAGGAGTCCGAGAGCGAGAAGGAGAGTGTTGGAGCTCCTCAAATATCTCCTCGCAAACGACCACTAGTTGTGGACGACTCCGATTCGGGATCTGACGATGTTTCACCCACAACAACACACAAAAGAGTGCGTCGCGTGGTCCTGGACGACGACGACGACGATGAAGAGGACAACGCGAGCGACCCGTCTAATCTCCCAGCTACATCTCAGCCACCAGAGAAGGGCAGAGACCACGAGTTACTTTTGAGCAGCCTCGCGGCAAGCCAGAAAGCATCCCCATCTAAGCTACCGACTCTACCTGCTGAAGTCCTTTTGACCGTCCTTGACAACGCCGACCCAGCGGACATCGTGGACCACCGGCTCGTATGCAAAGCCTTCAAAGAAGTGATTGACACGTCCGTGCTTTATTATCACATCCAACGTGTGGAGTTGATCGGCTATCTCGGACCGAAAGAAGGTCAACTCATGGAGCAGCTGAATGTGCAAGATTACTGGGACTTGGCATTTGTCAACGCGACTTTCGAACGTCTAGATGAGCGCGTGGGCAACCAAGCCGTATGGGATCCACAAAATGCGTACTTTCGTATCAAGGAGTCCTGGTATGACACGTTTGTCCGCAGTGTCGGCGAGATTGAACCCGACAATCCGTGGTGGCACCATACCGTACAATGTCTTGATTTACGAAAGCCATCTTCAGTGCACGGGCAGCTACGTTGGTGTGTCAAAGTAGGCCCAACGGTTGTGGATTTTGGCATGGCAGACGAGCAAGACGTGGATATTGAACTGGTGGAGCGCGAAGACGAAGACACCATCATTGTCCGGGTTACGAATTGGAAGCGTATGCTGAAGAATGTCTTTCGAGAAGAACGAGCTCTGAACCTGTTACTCAAAGACACCGAAGAAGACGAATTTACATACAGCCATCTAGAGGACGGCCTTCGAGACATGCGACGTAAGCGCTATCGTTCGAAGTTGAATCCACGTAACAATAAGCACGGTAGAGACATTTGGAAGATGGACAACATGACCCCATTATGGGGCAAATACTCTTCGATGACCGTTATCCGGGACTACGAAGATGTGGAACTTGCCGAGCGCAATGCTGCTCAAACCCTCATGCTCTTGCGAAGAGAAGCTTCTATGTCATCTCGGGAACGAGATGCATTGTACACAATGAAAGAGGAAAGAGCTATAATGCACAGGGAAGTGGCGGAGGTCGACGAGCAATTCAAGAAATGGCAGGAGAGCTTGCTCGGGTTACCAAATCTAAGCCTTGGTCGTATCGAAATCGATCATGACGTTGATCCCAATCCGATGACTTGGTCCAAGGAAGTCGTGGATCGCGAGAGCCAGAACCTGATAAGGTGGAAGGCTCAGAAGCAAACCATCGCGCATATCAAAGCCTACCTGGATGCTACGAACGCCGCAGCCACCTTAGCCGAGGACGACCTCGATGACGAAGACGAAGACTTCTGAGCATTCGCCATGCTGTGACACAGCAACCATACCTCTGTCCACGGCCATGCCGCCCTATCGCTCTGCGTCCACGCCTCATACTCGAACCCGTGCAGCTAAGCCTGTTCTGTATAGTCGCATGCATCGACAAAATTGCCGAATAGGTTGTCTGTTGGTGCTGATAGTGTGTTTGCGCCAAGCCGGCTCAAGTGTCCAGGACTCCAGGTGGTGTTCGGCCCCACCTCGACAGCCACCAGGGAGGCCCTTTCCACCACGATGTGCACGGCAATCCTTCCTAGACATTGCGCGAGCCCCGCGCGATAAGACCTGTTCGCATATCATGTACCATCAAATGGTGCTCTAGCGCATTTCTGCAGGCATTTCTTGCCAGGATCGCAAACGCCGGATGAAGCTATGTCGACCGAGGATGGGGCGGAAAGTGCGGGCATCGCAGTAGCTTCTCTATATATAGTGAGGATGCTTGCTAATGATGCGAATCAGGCTCGGAGTATGGATACCGAGAGGTGAATGCAATCTAGAGCTTCTGCATGGTCTTGCCGATCATAAACTACGCTTGCTCCACGAGGTACTCTTGGCCGATCTGCCATGGACATACTGCGCCGCCACCTTGCTTATCGCCAACATCCTCCATTGTTTCCAAGACAATCAGTGCCTAATACAAGGGCCTCGCATGTGGCAGGTAATCTTTGCAGCGTGACTGGCGAATAAGAATCAGTACGCCTGCACCACAAAGCTGCATCGATGTGGCGCTGTGTGAGCTGAACCCCAAACGTGGGCATGGCGGCATAAGCTTACCATTTCTTGAGAGCGGGTTGTCTATGCTTATCACGCTTGGAAGGAGTGGCACTATACAGCGGCTGACCAAAGTGGGAATCCCTCATATATCCATAGATATCTAGGTTACTCAGACCTGAGCATTTCGCCGCATTGTGAAACACTGCAATTCGGGCTCATCTTCGGGTACTACCTGCTTCAGCCTCAGCCTCAGCCTCGCGATGGCGTACCAGCAACTACCCAAATTACAGCACAACGTGGAAGTGACGCCGGTCAACGAGGACTACACTCCGCCTTCGTCCACCCTGCAAAACTATGAAGAGATACGAGACTTCGATTTCAGCCCCACGAGTCCACGCTCGACTGTTAAATCACCTTCTATCAAGAAGCATGTAACGCATTGGAGTTCGTCTACCAACAGCACGGCTGTGACGTCGTCGGAGGTATGTAGCACAAAGTCTGACAGCAAGGCTGGCGCGTCCCGTGCGCGGTCTTGGGCTTTCGAGATCATGGCTGTCGCAATCGGGCTGGGTGCAGTCGCCGCCATTGTCGGCGTGGTAGCCAAATACAATGGACACGCATTGCCAGACTGGCCTTACAGCATAACTTTGAACGCTCTCATTGCCCTGTTGGCTACTTTTGCAAACGCTGCAATGTCAGTTTGCCTGTCGAGTGGACTATCGCAGGCGAAATGGATCCGTTTCAAGCAGACATCGGCTCCATTGTCTGACATGGAGGCCTTCGATGACGCTAGTCGTGGTTCGTGGGGCTCTATCAAACTGCTGGCGACTGCCAGAGGAGGGTACGTTTCTCAGCTCAAGACATGGTTGACAGATGACTGACGAATGCTTGATCAGATTTCTCGGGTCTTTCGGCGCTATCATCGCTGTTATAGGTCTCGCCCTTGGACCTTTCGCGCAGCAGATCGCAACTTACAAAATCCGTAACGTGGAAAGTGACTTTGGCGCCATCATGCCTAGAGCCCTCAACTTCACCCCTGCGTTACCGGGTAACACCAGCACGAGTAAGTAGCATCAAGCGCATTTCGATGTCATCCGTTGACGTAGGTTTCTAGCGGGTTTCGTGCCAATTCTCCCACTTAAAGCCGCAGTCTACAACGGCTTGTTCGCGGAGAACAATAGACCTGCTGCGTCACTACCATTCAAGTGCCAGAGTGGTACTTGCACCTGGGAACCCTTCGAGACGCTGGCTATTTGCCATGAGTGCACAGACATCACTCCGCTCATGACGCGCTACTGTCCACCTGAATTGGGTGCATCGCCAAACATGTCCTCATGCGGATGGCAAGTACCACAAGGAGCTCATCGTAAGTTTCGCATGCGCAAATTGTAAATTGGCGGGTACTTATTGCTTACACTGTTTTTTTAGTCAACACGAGCTCCGATGTATTCAGTATGACATCCTTCATCCCGTCGGCGTATGGCGACATGCCCCACTCCACGATAATCCGACTCATCTTCATGGGTACAGAGCTTCAAGATACACCCAATGCTCTGAACCCTTGGGCATCACAATGCAGCCTGCAAGCATGCGCAAATACGCTGTCCGCATCGGTCACAAACGGTACGCACCAAGAAAATGTCACGCACTCTGTTCTCAACCACACTGTCATCGACATGAGCTCCCCCGATCCTGCCGCCGACTATGGTGTTTATATCACTGGCAAGTCCGATGACACTGCGTACTTGCTTGGCATGGAAGCGCTTTTGAGCATACGCGGATGGTTTAGTGCAATCTTTACCAACGGCTCCGCCACCCGTACAACTAGCGATTTCACCCGAAGCGTCACAGACCCAGATCGTGCTGTAGTTGTCAATCTCACAGTCGGTATCTCATCAGGCGAGACTTTCTTCGACACGGATATCGTCACCGCGTTCTACTGGAACTACTACGAGTACGCCGATGGACTCAATATGCTGATGAGCGACTTGGCTGTATCGATGACAACCGCTTTTCGCGGCTTCAATGGCGCTGTGGATACCAACGGCAAGTCGATAACGGTAGAGTCCTATGTCCACATCCGATGGGGTTTTGCTGTGTTACCGATCGCGGCTGTCGTGGCCACTCTGATCTTCTTGCTCGCGACGATGACGATGACGCATACGTCTGGTACGCAAGTGTGGAAAAGCAGTGCGCTTGTGCCGTTGTTACACGGCTTGGATCATCATACTAAGGAGAGGTTCGGTACTAAAGACAGTTTGCCAGCTCAGAAGAGACAGGCAAGAGCGGTAAAGGTCAAATTGTTTACTGATAATCGGGATAGCACAATGCTTGGAGCAGAGAAAGCTGCATGCTAGTTTGAAAGGCGATATTGATCAAGTTTCGATAGGCAAGACAACACCTCACTCAATACAATCTTTGGGTTATACCCTACTTTCGCGATCAATATCCTTGCTCTTTCCCCCCTCGCTACTGATGTCACTTTCTGTGTCGCTGAGCAATCCATTCCAAGCATCATCATCGACGCTATCCCTATCGTCTTCTCTTCCAACGTCCTTCTCTACCTTGACGTTTACGAACAACATCCATAATCCAATATCGTAGGTGATCCTACAAATACTCGTAGCCACGAAGGCCACCCAGAAGTTATCGCTACCAGACAGGAAGCCTGTGATTGATGGCCCGACGCTCATGGCTAACGTGCGCAGCATACTAGTGATACCCATGACACCCGTACGCTCTTCAGGCTTCACGACTGCTGCAATGAAAGCTGTACGCGGTGCTTGATCCATGCTATTGAGGGAAGCTCGGAATAGCAGCAGGCCCACTGTCCAACCGACTTTTGAAGGTAATGGGATGAAGCCGCTGGCGATCGATGATGGGAGGTGGGTGAAGACCATGGTGTTGATGAGACCTATGCGTTTGGCCAATGGTCCGGCGAAGATAGCTCCAACTGCGCAGAGAAACTGCGAAGCCGAGGTAATATCCCCAAGCGTAGACTTTGAGACATGGAACTTTTGGTCGACGTAGTAGTTCATCAGGGAGTAAGGTGTCATGCCGTCTGCTAGACTGTCAACAGCTAAGAGGATCCAGAGCTTGTACATGACGGATCGTGTACTCTGCGAGATCTGACTAAAGTAGCTTGCTTTCTTTTGCGATGGCGGGTTCCTGACACCCGCTGGTCTTCCTACGTGCTCGCGGTCTTGGTCGAAACCGTCCGTGGTGCTGGGTGTCATCGCCTCCAGTAGCACTTCTTCCTCTTCGCCATGGCCCCCACCACGTCCTCGCTCTTGCATCTCCGCCCGCTTCTCACCTGCAGCCTCGCATCTGCTACTCAAACCCAGACAAAGGATGCTCCCAAGCACTCCGAAGGCTGCATAGCCCCAGAATAGGGCATGGTATGCCTTGGTCACATTACCGCTGCTCTTCTCGAGAGCATTTACCGTTCTCCCTGCGACTTCTGCGCCAATGGCCCCTGCCAATGTTGTCGCTGTGACATACCACGAGAGTACATCGCTTCTTGTTGTCTCGTCTGTTAGGCCACTCAACATGCTCTCCTCGACAGCTCTGAAAGGACCACAGTCAGCACCGGTGACAGAAATGATGCCGAACACCGCCGCAACCAAAAGAATGAAGAAGTTCTCCGACAGCGCAAATGCGACGCCTGAACAAGCCATCATCACACTGCCCATGAAAAGAATCTTTCTCCTGCCTATTTTGTCCGCCACGAGAGTGAGCAGCAATGACAATAGGACATCTCCAAGCAATGTCAATGTCATGAAGACCCCGATCCTCGAATCCGGAAAATTGAGCGAGGAGAAGAAGAGAGCGAGAATCAGCGATGGAATACCGGCCGTGAACATTCTCAACGATCGCAGTGTGATGATGATGTATGCATCTCGTCCAGTCGCGTTGAGTGATGTGATGCCGAGAAATCCAGCGATCCGCGATATCGCCGTGGGAGCCATGGTGGCAATGTTGGACTGTGCCGCGTGTTGGATCAGAGAACGCGAGTTGACGTTTCGTGACAATACAAACTCAACATCAACTGCTTATAGATGTCGAGAAGAAAAGATGAAGAGAAACGGAAAAGCACGGAAAAGATCTCATCCTACAAAAGACTGGTGACCACCCGCGTTGCTAGTGTGGGCGTTAAACCCGAGACGGGTTTAAGCTTGGAAGCTACATCTTGCCTGACTCACCTGTGGCGCTGCCTGCATACGCGCGACTCCATCAAAGTGCGTTCTAGATCATATTTGAGCGAC